TACCAAAAAAAAACCAACAAAACAAACAAAGAATAAAGCAGCATACCAATGGACCCTTTTACTAAATTCAATGATCAAAATCAAAATCAACAAAATACATATCCTTTATCCCCTGAACATCCGTTAACTTGTAAAATGCCTAAAATAGGAAAGTGTGTTTCAGTGTATTCTATGACAAACTGGGTGAAAATTTTTTAAATCAATTACATTAGGGTTAAGTAAATTGCTCTAAACCCACAATATAAACTCATCCAGACATTAGGATATTTTCATCTTCTTCTGAGTTACATTTGCCTACTCATCTTTTCTTTTGTATAAGGTACACACATGGTGCCAAGTGACAAACATAGGCTGACATGGCCCAGGGGAAATATAAAGAAAAGGAGGAGAATTACTTGTAAGATGATGCTGAATAATGATAGATGGTATTCCTTTTAAAAAAAAAATCAACTTACAACATATGTTCAATTTTGAAAGAACTAATGCTTGAGTTTGCCAAAAGCTGAAAAGCTGATAAATTATGCAGTAAATATATTAATGGAATACTAAAGTCAATTCTAAATTTGGTTACTTCAAGTGACTATAAATTTAAGCAGATAAATACAAGACTATCCAGTGAAAAAAATGAAAATATTTGACTGCAAAAGTACAGCTGGAGGGCAAGACACAATGTTATTTGAGGCACAAGACAATAAATCCCTAGGAGTTTGACTTCCAGGATACACTCAGGTTGAGAAATATATGAGCACCCCAGAGAGTATAAAGTTCAGGGTCACAGAGAGTTTCTTGCAAAATTTTCTGACTGTAGACAAGAATCTGCCAGAGTATTTCAGGTTGTTGCCAGTTTGCAGTAAACTATGGTGATAACACTTGGTATAATTCTAGAAATAGTGTGTTTCATCCATGCTTTCCACATGGCTTGGAAGTAGTGATCCAGTTAGCAGGTGCTACAATTTCTCTCTGGTACTGTGTGGTTTGATCATGTGGAACATGATGTAAAATTTACTAATTCCAAAATGGGCCATTTCATTAGAATAAAATAATTATATCTTAAAATGCCTCTTACAGTCTTCTTTATGAGAAAAAAAGCACCAAAAATTACAAACTCACATCATATGAACTGTCAACTCATGCAGAGCTCACCTTCATCTCTGTGCAGGCAGCTGATATCAGTTGTATCCTGTGCTCACTTCACCAAATGGGTTGTATATGAAAATAAAGCAAAAACAGTTGTCCTTAAAGTAAGCATAAAATTTGCCAGCTATTTCCTACCCAGTGTAGCACTGTCAGTCTCTTCTTTACATCTTATGACTCAGTATTCTTATAAAAGGCATCACAACTTAGGATTCATCATTTTTGCCACTCAGCTCTCTGTGCAGATATGTTAATGTAAAGAAACCAGTACTCCTCATCAGTTTGTTGCTGACTGCTGCCAAAATAGTTCTGTTGTACAGAACTGGATGCCAGCAGAAGCCCCTGGTATACACAGAGCCAATGTTTTCCTAAGCATGCATGTCATACCTCCCTGCACCCCTGAAACCTGGGGCTGCATTATCCAGGGTTAAATTGCAGTAACTGCATTCGTTGCCCAGGAGAAGTCAGTGGGGCATGAAAAGTGCATGTGATATTACACTCCAACTGAATGAAATCATCTCAGCTGATGCACTAAAAGCATAGAGCTAAACTGTACAGCTTTAATATAGCAAACTGTCAATCAATGAATTAAAAGTCAATCCTGACTGACAAAGCAGAAAGCACTTTGTGTTCTGTGCAGTTGTAGAAATTATATCTGATAGTTAATATTTTAGCAGTAGCACCTCTACTACATCTTTTAATGTATTGCAAATTTTTTCATGTATGTGGGGAAAGCTGATGTCGTGATTTTTCTGTGTTTCATAATCTACATGTACTTTGTATATGTGTGGTTAATATATAGCTTCTTTTTCTGCATGAGAAGGCAGATATATACAATAAAAATAAACTCTTTAGAGGAAAAAAAGCTGTAGACAAAATATTTTTTTTCTTAGGTGTCTAAATTTATTTGTGAGTAAATAGTATGCTTTGTCTGTTTTACAGTCTATTCATCCAGTATCCCTCTAACATTATTTTAAAATGACTGAGACTATGTACTGAAGAATGCTAACATTAGATATGAGATGCAGTGAGACAGTAAACTCTGCCTTAGCTTCCTTTCTTCAGCTGCAGCTGAAATTGTCTGGACTAGTAAGAGGAGAGGGGTGTGAGGCAGCAGAAACCATGGGGCAGAAAGAGGCCACTGCAGGGATTCATCAGGAAAGGTAAAGGGGAGGGGAGAAGAGAAGTAGCAGGGAATGAGGAGAAGGCAGAAGTAACAGGAAACATAAGTGTTGAAATATGGTCCACCAGCCTCTAGATGTCTTCTTGCTTGGAACACCAGGAAAGAGACATGATCATTTGTATATATTACAGCAGGTACATTTCTAAGGTCTAGTCTTTAGAGCAGAATGTTATTCAGCTCACAAACATATTGCTGCAATGAGCAGGCAAGACAAGAAACTGAAATGGACATTGCAAGAGCTTGGGAAAAGATACTGGAGAACTTAAAAGCAGTGCTCCAGCAGGCATGCCCTGGACTTGACTTGCTACTGGACTTCACCTGACACCATGATCAAATCTCTTCTGCTTTTGTGACCCAAGTCCAGTGATATGCACAGGGATATGCAAATTTTAGCCATTTATCCGATGTTACTTCTGCTGCTGGGGCCACACCAGCTTGCAGTATACTCATCTCTTTCCATTCACAAAAACTGTGCTGCTCACCTTGCCCACAGCTGTGCTTCTGCCTTTCATCACCAGCTAGGGATGACAGGCAGGCTTGTATTCATGGGTGAGGATGCTGCACCCTTTTTATGATAAAGGTTTTTATTTCAGACAAAAGGTTTTATTATTATTTCTGAAGGTAACCTGCAACCAAATAATCCCATCTACAGCATGTAATCAGCAGAAAGAAAACCATTCTTTTTCTGTTTCTATATAAAAGTGACAAAATGTTGCCTAAGTCTGGCTGACCTTTCAGAGCTAATATAAAAAATATTTTTCCAAGTACTAGATGTCCTAATAAACCAAGGGAGGAAAGCTCTACTCTGGCTTGTATCACTCTGTAATAACTAGCAGAATGGTGATGTTGTCATGTAGGGAAGTGCTCACTTCAGAAACAGCATTAACATTTTAAGATGTTACTCTCTTCCATCCTGTTATTTTCCTTCATTATAAGGGGCTAGAGCTTCTGACTCCTGAACTCAGACACAGTCACAGATTGTGCCAATAGGACAAATGCACTTCAGTGTGCTCAGGAAAGTCCCTTTAACCTGAAATTGGCTCACACCAGGTCTGGCTGGAATATTCATGGAAACACAATAAGGATTCTCACATGGTCTGTGAGCATGGCTTACTTGAGAGCCAGTAACTCCCTAAATCATTTCAGTTTGTTCCACAAGAGCACATTTCCCTCAAGCCTGGCTGCTCTGTGTTCATGGAGTTCAGAAAAGCATGAAGCCTTAGGAGCTCTGCAGTGAGTGTCTCCCCACAAGTTCCATCTGTAGCTGTGCTTTCCCACATTATGCCTTCTCTTGGGGATGAAATGTGAGAAATCAGAAAATCCTCATCCCTTGTAATCATGGAAAGGTTTGCTCCTTTCCTAAAGGTCCTGGCATGGTTGTGATGACCTTTTTATTATGTGTGATGTTCAGATAAAACTTGTTATACAATGTCACTGTTGTATCATCTCTCTGCCTCCTGTCTTGTTTGTTCACTTTAACAAACAGTTAACTTGTTCAAGCAGTTTATATTTTAATCTTTTAAGGGTACTCTCCCCACCACAAATGTATTCACCCTATCCTTCTTTGTAATCACATGCAGCAATGCCTTTCAATGTATGAAATGAGACTTGTGCATGAGCTTTGTCCACCTTGACTGTCTGCATTAACATGCTTCAGCTAAGTAATGAAATAAAATGCTTTTCAACATCATCTGTATTAAACTATAGGGTGCTACTACAAGAGATAAATGGTTTAAGCTGGTGTGCTGACAGGCAGAGAGGAGTCACTGCTGCCCTTTTGTTCCAGACAGAATTCCTCTCCTTGAAGAGAGGGTGCACTCCTCAGGCCTTGTGACAGACTGACATAGGATTTATTTTCTTGGCAGAAATAAGAGTTGGGGTGGAAACTTGTATGTATTGTACAGCAAATCTTTTGGTTTTTTAAATTTTTCTTTAGTTAAAAAGGTCAAACATATTTTTTTGGGAACGTAAAACTCTTCCCATTCATCCCAGAAACAGAAACTGTTGTAACATTAGTAGGTAACTTTACATTTCCTTTCACCACTGAACATATAAACCATGATGGAAAGACTGTTTCACAATCTCTCAGAATAAGCATATTGTGTATTGCATCTTAACTAGCTCTGTTACAGGATAGAGAAATCATAAGCTGCTTTCTTAAGCTAACTTAGGCTATTCTTAAGGTATTTCCTTAGTCAGGCTTTACCTTGAAAATTTTCTCACATAGTTTCAGGATATTTTCTGTATTAATACTAATTTATTGCTTTCTAAAGTTAATCTCTCTTTCAAGAGCTACTAGCGTCTCCTCTTTTTGCAACAGCTTCTGGTCTTGTTTTTGTTGCCAAAACCATTGCAAAAAGTGGTTGAACACATTGGATGTGTTTTATGCCAAACATGAATGTTTAACTTCCTTCCTTTTATTTATATCTAAAATTAATGTTCCAATCTTTAATGATAAAAAGCCTAATTATAAGCAATTTGATTCAAATCACTAGTTACTGACTATGTCCTCTACTAAGTTAGGCCTAAACAGGGAATTTGAAGAAGTATTTCCAGAAGAGAGAAATGGTTAATCACCCCAGTTTTGTTAACTGCCTCTAAAAAGATAGTTTTTATTCTAATTAGAAGCTGCTTCTTTGGACACCATATAGCCATTGCTTAAATCTGATCCTTTACCCTACAGCTGTTTCAAATCCTTCTGAAGAGCTAACATTTGATCCAGTAGAAGAGAAACTTCGAATGCAAATTGAAGAAGAAAAAAAAAGGTACTACTTCTGCCTCAGATTTCTACCATCCTTCAGAAGATAAATTATACTGATAGGATATTCCAATTACCATTCTGCACACACAGCTACCCTCAGGGTTTTCTCTGACATTTTAAAAATATCAGTTTTGTGGTTCACTAATAGTTCTAAATTTGTGTATGTGCTGTTGGTTTGTCTATCAGATGCCACAGTAGAAGAGAGAGGAAAATTTATTCTTGAGCTAAAGGTTAAAAATAAATAAAAACAGCTAAATGTCCTCCCTGAGGATTAGTGTTTGCAACTTGGTGCTTGAATCCAAATGTATTGTGAGCCTTTTGGGTGGATTCAGAAAAGTCCTGCCTTTCTTGACCTAAAGAGAACATTTAGGACTCACTAAATGTAAATAATACACAGAATACATAGGTTAACCAACCCTTGCCAAACAGATAAAAAAATAGATACAAGAATGTCAGTATGAAATATTTTGCTAGTGCTTGTTATTCACAATCTCAGGGGAAAATTCTGGCTCTTTCTTACTCCTGGTAAATCTCCAAGTGTCTAATAGCCAAGAGGGTAATGAAGCTTCCATCTGGCAGGGGAACCAGTCTCAGCTCCTATCTGAATCCAAGGTACCAGTTATTTATTAATGGTAGCAAGTTGAGAATACAAAAGAAGTAATTTTCATAGTTGATCAAACACATATTTTTACTGTCTATCAATGTTGATCCCACTTGAATTTCACTAACTTCATTATGAAATAAAAGGTTTGTGGAATAAGTTTCTTGCACTTACTGTCCTATGAAGCTTTTGTAAAATATGAGATGTTTCCTTCTACCATCTGTCTCGTGTCCTCTGCATCTCTGATTATTATACATTATTTTATAGTTTAAATCTCTAACAGTTCTAGGTAGGATTAACATTTATTCAGATATATGTTGGAAAATCTGTAATACACTTTTTTCATCTCTTATTAGCTATAAAACAGTGTACAGTCGCTTCAAAGGGCTGAAGGTAGAGATTGAGCACTTGCAGCTTCTTATGGAAAAAGTGAAGATGAAGTTGCAAAAAGACTTTGAAATCTGGTGGGCTGAAGAGGCAAAAAAATTCCAGGTATGAAATAATTTTGTATTTCTTCCATTTTCATATAAATATAACATCTTCAATAATTTCTCAAAGAAGTAGTTAATTGACTAGTTTAAAAGGAGTATGAAGGATGGAATTCAGGGTCTGGTTCACCTGTACTTATGCCAAAGTTAACTGGACAAAAATAATGTGAGTTATACTTGTGTGAAGCTAAAAAAAATTAAACAAACCCATTTTTTTCCTGCTCTATTTTCTCTTTTGATGTTCTCCCAAACAACTTGATTACTAGGGAAGTATGGGCCCAAAATGCCAACAACTCTGAAAGAATATTATCAGATTGCAAAGAATAATATTTTTTACTACTAGCAAAACTATTATTTCATTAGCATTTTTTGCAGCAACTATAGTTAATTTTTAGCTTCCTTTGCTTGTAAAGACTCTAATAACTTTTCAGCTTCCCTAGGCTCCCAGAGGGTCATCAGCTCCCAGCACAGTGTGTTTTCTCACTCTCTAGCTGAAGTTCACCAGTGTTTAAGCACAGAGTGCTCTAATACAATGTCTCATGTAAAAATGAACTAAAGACCTGCCATTTTAACCAGCATATTGGAAGTTCATACCACAATCAGTCTGAAAACTACACTCTGCTGAAACAACCTGTGCTCCCCTTCTGACACATTTTTAATGACTTGCAAGTAGTGGCATAGCAACTCACAGCAGAGCTCAGCCATGAAACACATCAGCCTCATGAAAAAGAATGCTGAGTGCAGTCCATCCCATTTCATTAATTATTAACTGGAAGAGAAGATTTACTCCTTGAGGAAAAGTTGTTATAAGCAAAAAATATTTTAGCTTATATTTTGGTTAATTCTCATTAGTATAAATTTAAACCATATTTTTAAGAAAACAGCTTAAAATAAATACAGAACTTAACCTAGGGAACTTAGTTATCCACACACTGCCACCTAAGCAGCTTAACTGCAAGTTAACACAAATACTTTTCCAGTTAAAATCCCTATCTATATTAGTGGCAAAGAGGATAACATTTTAGTCACCCTCCTGTGTAAATATTTAGGCTTTACAAAGCACTGCAAGTAATATTCTTGAATCCACAGAGCACATCTTTCTCCATCCCTTAAAAGGAGAGTTCCAGGATTCAACCTCTCATGATTCATCAGTAGAAGATTAGAAAACTGGAAAACATAATTGGGATTAATTTCTTAGATCTTGACCTATCTATACATCTGAGCTCCCTAAGAAACTGAATCAGTGAACATATTCTGTTACATATTAAAAACCTGTAACTTGAGCTTAAAAATATTTGAAACAGTCCTAAATACTTTTCTCTTTGTTCAGAAGTGTTTGTACAAGTGGAGAAAATACTGTGTGATTCAGGCTCTGTGTTTTCTGAATGAGTCATTGCTTACCTTGTTATTGCTGAAATGCATAGGCCAATATGAAGCACTTTTAAAAAATCCTAGCCTCATAATTTTGTTTTTCAATCTAAACCCAGCAGGAAAAGTCAGAGATGGTTACCTCACCAAATACTGTCACTGTTTATCCACAGTTTATCAGATCCTCACAGCATCTATCACCTATCAGGTAAATTGTTTATTCTTCTCTTCCTTCCTTACATGAGAAAAATGCACTTTTAATAAAAGTGAAGTTGTCCAGAACGCTTTTCAAATATCACACTGAAACACTGTATTTTCAGTTACAATAGAAACAATTGTTTAGAAAATTAAATTTTATCATTCAGTTATTTGGAAGTCCTATTGAAGGTAGGACCTCAGTTCTTTTGACATGCTGGTCTTGGAACCTTGGAAACCTTTCTTTATGGGCCCCTTAACAGCTAAGAAAGGCAAGCCTGTTATCAGTCAGTTTTGTGTATGAGGAAATTATATCTCCTTTAGGATGTATGTAGGGGACTTCAAAACAGATTAAAAAAATTATTTTGTATATATCCTAGATACACTTGCTCCTGAAAAATGTTGTAGTAGTACATTTATGCAGCACATTATTCCACAATGGTATTATATTTGATATTGTAAGATGGTGCTGTGTCATCTACAGGAGAAAAATGTAATCATCTTGGTTGTTTCATCAACAGTCACCTCTGATTTCAAAAGTTCTTATTTAAATTTGCAGTAATAGGTGTTTCATAATGATCAGGGAAAGTATTGTGCAAAAAACCACATACCTAACTGTACAGGTTTCCATATTCAAGGACAAAAAATGGAGGTGTTCTGTCCTCTTCCTTCTTCCTTTCTTCCTCCCTCTTCCTCTTTTCCTTGCCATCTTTCTCTTGGCCTCTTTTCCTGCATCTCTCTTCTCCTCCTTGTTATGCAATTAACATTTCTCTGATGAGTGCCTTTACCTACATTTTTATGACAGCAATCTGCATAAGTGATGTTTTCCTGTTTTCTTAAAACTGTAAAATAGCTTCTAAATTTTATTTAACACTCTCATGTATCTGTAGTAAATGCTCCATAATCAGTACAGGAAATGATAGACATTGTCCTCTAAAGTTTTCTGAGAAGACATTTTCTGATCTCTCAAACTGATGAAAACCAACTCCAGTCTTCTCTACTTTGCTTTGGTTCTTGCTCTGTGTCCTCTCAAGACTTAGGCATTAATCACTTTGCAAATGGCTGACAGGTTTTAGGCCTAATCTGTGCTGTTCATTTCTGGCCTCAGGCTGAAGGTTACTTGTCCTAGAGAAAAGCCCAGGAACAGAACATGAGAGCATTTTTGGTCTAGCTTAGCAAAATTCAGGAAAATTAGCTCCAGCAATCCATGACTGTCACTGTCTGTACCGTCCTTTGAACTAAGCACTTTTTGCACAACCTCTTTGCCCCACTGATCTTGGGAACAACAAATTTCAGTTGGTGTGCTGATGCATTGCTCAGGAGAGCAATACCTTTTGCATTCTAATTAAAAATGCTTGAACTGAAAAGATCATGTAGTAATGCCCAGGTACTTTCCAGTGCAATGGGGACTGGCCTCCAGCAGTGGTGAATCCTCCTTTCCCTATCCTAGCTCAGAAACAAAATTGCATAACTGATTTCTTTATGGTTTTTTTTAAGCTTTTCTATCAAATGCCTTTACTGTTCATGTTTATTACTGGAGGACAAGTCTAAGGAAAGTCCATCTGACATTTTAGAATGGGGAAAGGTGCATGGTTGCTTTCAGCTGCCAAGTTTACTTCGGAGTCCTGTACTGCCCCACATGATTCCCTGCAAAAAGATGTTCTTTACAGTGAATAGTTTCTCTGTGTCTAAGTAATGGGCATATTGACTAAGGCTGACTGGATGATCCTTGCATAAATATCACAGACGCAGATTATTTATCTTCTGGAACTAAAATTGTAGAGAGAGTTGGGATTAATGTAGTTTTATTTTCCCAACTCTATCAATATTCTTGCAAAAATCTTTAAAAGTCAAACACTCTTTCATTCCTATGGTTCTAGAAAGTTGATCTTATTTTATGTTAGGCTGTTTAAACATATTTTACTCAGGTACATTTCAAGTGGCATATATATGGAAGTAGAAACACTATTTCTGCTTTTTCTGAGGCAGGAGCTACAGGCTTAACCTCCCACTGTGCATGAAAATTTACTTTTTCCCCTACCCGAGTCAATAACATTTTAGAGTAATGGTTTCAAATTTCACAGACTTTAAAAGAATAAAATAGTAGAATATTTATTTCCCAAGGATTTCCTAGGCCCCAGTTGTCACAGGAACTTTACTTACCATTTCCCATAATTGTGTAGAATGAATCCAGGCTACAGGCCCATCTTTTCCTGAGACACAAATGGCTCTTTTTTTCTAACTTGTATGGAAATCAACCATATCTTTCTTTGGAAATGATATTGCTATCTTCACCCAGCAGAATAGCCAGCCACCAAAGCAAAAGCTGACATAAATTATGTTTGATATAATGTGGTGTAAATAAAGCCTGTTTCCAAGATGGAATTCAGTTAACAGGTGATATTCTATATCTTATAGATATAAGATCTAAAACTTAGTAGGCTAAATTCTAAGATTCTTGACAGAGTAAGCATGCAGTAAAACCATCCATCCTGAATGGGAATGGATGTTAATACAATCTTTAGGGCTAGAAAACATAATTTCAATAACTCAGCATATAAAAGACACAGGTGTATTCCTAATCTTTGTATGTGTTTGAACAAAGTCTTTTGATCACCTTCTAATGTATGACTTGTGTACATTGTTATTGTTTGACACACCTTAGTCATGTTTCTAGAGAAAATTAAGCCTTGGGAAAGCTCATATTTTATTTTATATTAAGTTAACTTATAATTAAAATAGCAGAGAATGGAGGCTGGTAATCATTTTGAGTCTTAAGAAGGATACACACACCTAAACGGCACTTGATTCATGGCCAAATATGTCTCTTTTTTCAGTTGAAAAAATGGCTGAAGTGTTAAAGTGTCAAAATTAGTCTCTGTTAATAAAAGAGTTGAATAGTGACCATTTCTGCCTCAGTCAGTGAGGTCTGAAAGCTGTGGTGCTACCTGCAACTCACACTGAATATAAGTTCATGTCTCTTAATGGATTCCTGTCAAGTCTGCAAGAAGTCTGAAAATGCATGTCGGGCTCAGCACTCCATATGTGCTCCACACATTCAGAATTTGAGCACAGCCTTTTGTTCTTCCTCATACAGTCTTTCCTACAATGGCTTTCATTTAAGGAATTTATCAGATCCTTGTCTATTCAAATTGCTTCTCTCACTGAACATTTCGTTTTGGTCGTGTTGCACTGTTCTTGTATGCTCTTTGAATCATACAAATGTTTGATAGTTATTCAAATCTTATAAAATTTTGGATTTTTTTCCTTCTCTTAGATGGAATGCATTCCTTTTTATCTCAGTCAAATCTTTCTTAACCTCACTCATTTCATTTTACTGAATCTCATTTGTCCTATTCCAGCAAGACCCTCAGTATGCTCAACCTCAAACTCCTCAGCTGTTCTGTTTCTTATTCAAAATCCTCCTGTCACTTTAAATTCCCTTGGAGCCATTTTCAAATAAATCTTCATGTTGTCTGATGACTCTGAGCATCAGATTGTTTTAAAAATTATTGTCCTGGATTCCAAAAGTTGCTCCCTATACTAATGTTATGTAAAACAAGGCCAATGTTTACATATCTTACAGCACTTTCTGTCTAATAATTTTTTATCCCTGCCAATTTTCTGCAGCGTTACATAATGATAAAAACATAATCTGGGAATAACATCATCAATTAGTGACATCTCAAAAGTTTTCACATTCTTTGGTAACAACTGGAACAATTTATCTATGAATTTGGCAAGTTAGGCCAAATCTAATTTTGTAGCCAACTACTAAAATGCTCAGCATTAAGCAGCTTGAATCTTTCCTGTCTGTACACTGAACATCTGTTCCCCTCATGTCCAAAACTCAGATAATTGGACAACTGCAGCTGAGGTTTTCTTAACATTACAGATGTTCCATACCTTCAAATTTTCAATTTCCATTTCAATCTACCTGATTTTCCATTATTTTCCAGCTGCCAGATTAAGCACTCATACCATGACATGCATCATCTCTGCAGCTCTTCTACCCTGGGTACTTGATGGAGCTGATCAGTCCATGGGCCAGTTGTCTCTGGTCCTTGGGTTCCTGCAGCAAGGGAAAAGCTGCTGCAACCCTGTGTACATCTCTATGACCCCTGCCCCATGCCTGAGTGAGAAATACACCCACAGCAGAGGATTCTCCCCCCATCACCCCCCAGAAAAAGAAAGTTATCCACTGGGTGAAACATCAGGTACTAGGTTATGAAAGCAAACAGACATATAAAGTTCACAGACTATCTTTAGTCTCCAGAAAAAGTAGGAATTTTACTGAAGCTGTCAGGAAACAGTCTTTGAGATTTATTAAATTCAATTAATGGAAAAATCAGATTGATTGAGAATGAAAATGGGAATTATACACTGTCAAAACAAGCTGAATAATGTTAGAAGTAAAAGCTTGGATGGCAGACAGAAGCAAGACTTACATACCTTGTATGTACACCCAAATCCAAAATGTGATACAGGTATGTCTGTTTGCACATTAGAGAAGTGTTGAATGGCACCTCTAGAGATCTCTGGATCAACCCCTTACTTGAAGAAGATTTTCATCACACTAAAGTGTGTCAGGCATGGTTTTGTTTGGCTTTGTTGGAGCATCCTGAGATGCTCTCTGTGACCTTCATGCTGGTCACACAGTGAGGGGTATCATTGCCTCCACCCCATGCTGGCATATGACTTTCCATTAAATCTAAAGCATTACTAGAACATTTCTCCATTTTTTGCATTACTAGAACAGCATCTAACACTCAGATGAATAAGGAGTATCCTGACTTCTAAGAACAGGCTAGGAACAAGTTGCATCTGAATGTACAAACCACTGCACAGCAGAATTACCCTCTTTTGTAGCCTTATGATTCAATCTATCTTGCAATGTCAGTATTCAAGCTTCATCATCTTGAAGGATGCAAGTTATCCCCATGACCATCGCTCTAGCCTAGGAATTAGAGAAATCTAGGATATAAGAGATAGATTTGAGTTGTGCGAAACTGATGGACTCATTTATTAGATTAGTACACTAATAGTTAACCTCTTATGTGGAAGCACAACTTCCAGTCATTTAAAAAATAGTTATAATCTTCCTTCTAAATTTCCTTAATTTGCAGGAGAACAGTTTGCATCCCACAAGAAAAATGTCTGCTTGCAACCACACAGGCACAGGATAGGAGATAAATGTCCATCTCTAAGTGCAGTAATGTTAATTTCCTGACTTTGGGCATCATCTCACTCGGTCTAAGTGGCATTTTTAATATTGCTTTCTGTGCCAAATTCTCCCAGAGCACCCTAAGGCAAGTTTTGCCATATTGTCCTCTGGTCCAGGAATGTACTTGAAAGTGACATCCCTAGAGTTCCAACCATGCCACACCTGTAGTATATAGCTTGGGTTTTTTTGTTTTGTTTTGTTTTGTTTAAATCAGTCTAAATCTAAATCCCCTTTCAAATGGGCATTTAACATTGTGGGCAATATTTTTTTTCAATTTCAATGGAAAAAAAAGAGGTAGTTCAAATATATAAACTACTGCAACTTAAAATGCTTCAGCTGACTCAAAGTATTTGTAGTCATATATCTTGTGCATGACAAAGAGAAAGCAAAGATGCTTATTTTAATAAAAAGAAAGCAATGAAAAAGAATCACATTAAGTCACATTATGTTTGTTATAGGCTAAGAATAGAGTCAGGGATGGTTGCTATGGTTCAGTTGATGTGTAGCAATTTATTAAACCTCAGTTATATGACTTGGATGCCTCAGTATCTCAGGGCACAGACACAGAAGCCTTTTAGAAAACTGAATTTAAAACATAAATCACTTTATTTTTAAGAACTGCCAAATCAGTGTGAAAAATGTTCAGGAAATTCTAAAACATAATGACAATATGAGGTTCCCAGATATTGTTAAACCACACAGTAGGTAATAACACCATGCATCCTTTCTAGCTCTTGTAATATGTAGGTGTAAGAAAATACAGAATATTATTGACATTAAATAAGATATTGTTTTAGTTGAATTAGGCAGGTGTGAATGGTGTGGGACTCAAGGAGTTAAAGACAATCATTCAGCAAACCTGGAGCTGTTCAGCTGAAAATGACTTATACTCCTGGGCACAATATCTTCTACAAAACTGAACCCGGCACGGTGTAATACAGTAAAATTTTAGTAATAAATTTCTTTCCCTTTTCAAATTCTCTGCCAGAAATATCAATTCACCAGCCAACAATGAACAAACTACTGCAGAGTTAGAAAAACAAGAACTTGCCAATCCTGCCATCTACTGGAAAAATCCTTACACTGAGTAATTTACTTTTTCCACTCCAAGATTGGCACCAGATCTGGCAGTACATGCAACCATCAGGAAAAGCAGAGAGTCCTTAGATATCCAGAGGTGGAAGACTGCCTCCCTAGCAGTGAGCTTCCTTGATAATGATATCTGTGAGACAGGAATGCACGGCAGCTGTTTGCAATATATTTGGCTGTCATCAAGAAGCCCCATCCCAAAGCCCTCACTGAGTTTTTACCCAGTCTCTCACTGATTTTGCTAACAATTTTGCCTGACTAAAGGAAGAATAGAAAATGAGCAAGGGCCAAACTTGGCTAATGCTCAATTTAAGAACTAAATATATCATTACAAACTGTACATCAGATATATCAAAGTGCTTTACAGCACTTAGAAGCCAAATACTAAAAGGATATTTTTTTGAAGGTATTTGTCATTCTTTCACAGCCACATTCTCTACATAAACATCATAATCATATGGATTAAACTGAAAATCTTCTTTCAGTAAACAAGTGTTTTATATAGATTTTTTAAATTTTGAAAAACATCTTTGTAGTTCATTAGTGTATGTATTAATATTGCCTACACAAGGGCTATTTTCTGTTCTTTATTTCCTTCATATTTTTTCATTTCCCATTCAGTTTTTCAGACACCAGTAGAGACAGCCCTAATGAAGATCCAGCTGTGAAAAAAAATTCAGTCACTTTTGGTAGCCCAACTTTAAAAACAAGGTAGGAATTGTACCTTGACTACTCAGAGGAAAAAGCAAAGTACAAAATAATATAATGCCTTCACAATCCTCCATCAGTCTATTTAAAAACAGTCTCCTTGAAATGTAAAAACAAACAAAATTTACAAATTGAAGATTTTCCTCCAACTTCCAAACAAACTGCAGGCTGCCACATAGCTTTACACCAATCTGCTGCATCATCAGTATTACAAAGGTGGTTTTGTGTTTGGCCTGAAGCTTTTTTTTCCTCTATAAGCTTATGAATATTCATGACTGTGCCTTCCCAGAGAAAGATAATCTGAAAGAGAGTAAATAAAAACATTTGAAAATATGAAAAATCAGAGTGTGTATGTATTGCAGAATTGTAGAATTCAGGAACTAGGCAGAGATCTTTTCATACTTGTGATTTTGTCTTTAAGATATTTTACATCTCCTACCCACAAATTATTCTATTAAAATAAAATAGCAACAGTTTCAGGCTTGGCAAAGGTTATATGTCATGTTTTCTCAAAAGAGGTACTAGTTTGTGAAAATTAGCTTATCAAGTTAACAGAAATTACTAGGGTTTTGAGCCTCTCTTTTTTTTCTAGTGTGTTTATTTCCACATTCTTTTCTACCACTGAAACATTATGCCAAGTCACTCTACTTCCAGAAGTTATATTCTTATTGTGCTCAACAGTTCTGGCTATCAATGCCCATAGGAAAATATGTTCAAGTTACTGTTTTTCTTACTGCATTAGTAAGAAGAAAGCATAATTTCTTTTTTTCTTTCATTTTCCAAAACAATCCATTTCTAGAGCAGAAAAAAATCATGGAAAATTTCATCCCCCAAAACCTAATATGTTAAATTGCATTTGGGTTTAAGAAGATCAGAAGAAAAATAAAGCTAAAATGGAATAAAACTAAAATGGAATTTAGAGAGTACCTTCTCAATATACTGTGGGTTTTTATTTATTATATTTTTGAGAAGTAAATGAAAATCAGTCAAGAACAGTCCCTTACTGGTGTTCTGTGATTGCCTTGTAAATTGCACAAAAATAGGGGAGTTTTAAGTTCAGAGTAATTTCTTCTTTGTTTTTCCATTTTGGTTCACTGGTCTAGCAACTGACAATTAATAGCACAATGACAAGGATATTACACTGCTGCATATGTCAGTCATACAAACCACCTACTGCTATAGTCAGTAACAAACAGTAAAAATAACTATAATTACAGAGGTATGATATGTAAAAAATAAGTTTTTCCTTTCAGTTCCCCTTGTCCTTGTATTCCTCATCTCCCAATTAGTGCACAATCTTTAAATAAGGTTAAAGATGCAGGTGGACATTCTTAGCTTTCTCAGCTGATCAGAACAGCTTCATAGTATTACATCATCTTACACCACCAGAGGATCTGATAAAAGTCAATGATTTGACAGCACAAGTACATGAGTTCAGCTGAGACTGGACATTCAGCAGCACAAAGGATTTGTGTCTGTCAGGAGATGTCCTGAGTACCACTGATTCTTTACTTCTCTGTATGTACGACAACTTAATTCCCCCACAGTAGCCAAAAATTCTATTCATCTATTCAGATGTATAGCAGCCTGAAGCAATCCAACACATGGCATAGTCATATCCATCATTTCCTTGGTAAACTCACTACATTAGGCTTTTCCACTTGGGAATTAAGTTTTTAGCTCAGCACTACAATATTTTTAACCCTTTGTGAGAAGTCTATAGCTGATAAGCAGGTAACCTTCCCACACCAAAGGGATGGTGGCTTATCTTAGGAACCTACATAAGGCAATTAAGAGGTCCTGAGATCAATTCTCTGCTAAACTGTTCTATATCTAACAATGCATCTAAAGAATAAAATCCTTTGTGGCGAAAAAAAAGAAGAGACGGAAAAATTAGCCTTTTTGCTCCCTTAAGTTGACAAGCATACTTTCTTATTTCAGGACTCCACCACCAAGTTCAAGTACATCTATTCCTCTGACTGGAGACAGACAGGCTGATGCTGACATCCTAGCTTTCATTAAAGCAAGACAGAACATCCTGCAGAAGAAAGGTAAAGCCTGCCAAAAAATAAGAAGCCAAACCAAAATCTCCAGTACAGCATTTTGAAGTCAAAATAGCTTTAGTCCACATTACACTGATGCAAATGAAAACTGATTCTGGCTTCAGCTATACTACATTATGTTCTCATCTGTTCTAAACACTTGAGGTTCTTCACATGTATTTCTAATTAGCTCAATGCTGCAGTGAAAAACTATGAAGGCTCTCTGTTTTACTAAGCCACCATCAGTGAATATCTGGGGCATGCATGGCTGTGCAACCTGCATAGTATATTATTTTACTCTTAAGCAAATGCATTTGAATGAGGTTCCTTGATGATACAAATTTTCCTGTATAGATTTTCTTCAAACTATGTGTCCTGGTTTTCATCTGGTACAAATTTAGTTGTAACAGTTGAAATCAAGTAAAGATAACTCAAATGATTGCACTGTACCCCTGCCCCAGGAGGCCAACTGGCCCACTGTGCCTGGCAAAGAGAATATCCTTAACAAGTATTTCACTATGTCAGGGTCTAATGAAAATTTCTATGAGTATTTGTCACCAAATCAGCTACCGAGAGCAATCATACGAAGGTAATAAAGTTCACTCTAGAGTGTAGATAAGTAAAACTGGCAGGAAGCAGAAAGCAATAAATAAACAATGGCACTGCAAAGAAACCTAAAATTTATTATGATAAAGAAAAATTACCTGTGCTTCTTTTTTTCCTGAATAATAGTTTTTAGTGGCAGCAACCAGTTAGACAGAATATGAGTGTGTTCGTGGTTACTGAAGCAATAGCTTTCCATCAGCACTTCAGTGCTGATGACAGCATTTTCCAATAATCTATCTGCACCTGGCAGATGGTGTTAACACTGTTACAAAGTGGGGCTTTGGTATCACACTGCTTATCAGAAAACTGTCAGGTAAACACACACTGGCTGAAAAAACAACCTCCCTACACTCATCCAAATCAAACACTTAGCACGCTTAGGCTTTGGGATCCCTGTTGTCTTTATTTAGAAAAGCTGTTGTCAGGTTTCTTTTTGCAAATGAAATTACACTGGATTTATAGGCAGCTCATCAGAAGAAAGTTAGTGATAAATGTCTTACAACAAATATTTTGGGCCTTCAGAAGGCCCAAATCTGACTCAATCCGTGACATAGGGTAATATAATTAAAAAGAGCACATCTTATCCTATGATCATCTCCTGAACCACGCCATATCAAAAATGTCTCTCTCAAATGCCTTTTCCATCCTGATTGTTTTCAGCCAGTGGCTATCACCTGGCATCATCCATCAGTTTCAGAAGGGACAAGACATTATCAACATTGACAATTATTTAGACCCCAAGTCATAAAAGATATTCTCGCAGAACAAAGGACAGTCAACACTTTTAAAATTATTCTGAATTTCAGTCAGATAAGATGAGCTGCCCTAAGTAGGTGAAAAAGAAATGGAGTAGCATTTGACCTTCCTGGCAGTGCAGGGCTGGATGACTCAACAAATTGCTAAGTATAAGCAGGAGAATAAAAATGTAAAGAGGTTATGTCAATTCAACAAATATGTAGGGACCTGATGTGTCACAGACAAGAGACAGCTCAACAGCAAGTTCTGAGAAGGATTTGGAGTCAACCTAGCAGATAAAAAAAAGGCTTTTCTTCCTTGTAAGGGAAGGCAAAACATTCTAGATTTAAGGGATGGAGCCACTGACAGAATGAACCATTGAGCAAATAAAGTTTGAAAATTTTAATTTAGCAAGATAAAGGAGGAGAATTAGTTTTCTTTTAGGGGGCAGGGATGTGGGCTATGATGCCCCCATTCCTGCCCCCACAAAATAAAACTTTCAGATGTAGAGTTAGGTAGAGAGGAAGAATAGAAGAAGAATGTAGTCTCACTTCAAACTTTAGGGGATAAACACTGTCATCAGTCACATAAATTTCCTGAAGAAATATCAAACATATGAAAAATAACCAAAGAGAAATTATTTACCCAGAGCCATTAAGCTGCATCAGACACATTCACACAGAACCTAGGTGTGCTGAGCCCCACTTGAGTGCTCTGTTGCTTCCTTACTAAACTCTCTTCAACTGAGATGTCCAACAATCCTTTCTACATTTGCATGCAAATGTATTCTCTCTCTGCATGACTGTTGCACACACAGTGCCCTTCAGGAAACATGAGGAAGCATAGGGTCAGCCAAGCCAAAGTCTGCTGGGCTTAAAAACTGTCAGCATCCTTACTGCTCCTTCCTTTATTAATCCTGACCCTTTCAAACTGTTATATTAGTATCTTAGAAGCAAACTGAGGGCCCTACTACACATATAGAGGGGAAGAAAAAAAAATATATATGTGTGTGCAGAAGCCAACAGAGTGGAAAATAAGTTTCATAAATAGAAAGCATGGGAATGCTCAATATCCTTAGTGACAGTACTGCAGGGGTGGGAATGAGGGGTCTCAGTAAAGAGACCCAAAAAAACCTAAGTCTCAGGGACTGTGGGTTATTACCATTTGCTTTCTAAACAGAGCAGAATTAAAGCAGGTACCTTCACAGCTGGGTGTGATCCCAATCTTGCTGGGATTGTTAGAGCATTGTAATAACTAACAATGGAAAGCTTTTTTGAAAAGGGCTACTTGGCAAACTTGCTTTTGATGCCACGTTCAGTGTTGGGGTAAAAACATGAAAATGTAGAAGAGTAGATAAATTATTTTTGTGTCTTAAAAGATTTATATTAAAGCATATATTTACATTTCTTTGGATTTGTAGTTCTGAAATTTGTTTTAAAACTGACAATGCAACCTGAAATGTAGTCTAATATATTTCTTTATCTCTTTTCAGGCCTGGGGAACAAATGAAATTCTTGTCACAGTCCACTATTTCCTTTTAGAAACAGTAAAAGAACTTTATTCTTTCCCTTTCTCTTCTGTTTAGAAACAGGTACAAGTAAGTACTTCAGATGTACAGGTTTTATTGGTAATGGCATATAAACTAACTTTAACAGCAAAATCCATTTCTCTGACAATAGATATCTGAGTGTTTGCACTCAGTATTTTCACCTTGGATTAACAAAACTGAAACAACTAATCAGAAGTTTGCCAAACATGTTTGTTTATGAGAATTCATTGTACATTTCTAAATGTTAAAATTATCTAATGTATTAATGCTCTTATACATCTTTAATCTGGGAAAGGCTTATTACTGTTGGTAGAGTGTTTTTGCATTGATTTGCATGAGGCTTTATTAACTAAACCTATTGAACATCAAGAGATATCCATTCAATAGCAGTAGTTATCTGGGTTATAAAATTCCATACAATTTCACTTGAGATTTTCCTCTCTCAAGGAATAACAATTTTCATATCAGATCATTAGGATACTGAGACTGCATTGTAATATAAAACCAAATGTATTTTAGAAAGTAATTCTAGAGTTCAAAATTTCCCAGCTGTTTTCTTTTTGTTTAAATGGATTAAATGTTGTGTAGAATGGATTAAATGTTGTGCAAAATGCACACCCTCCCAGAATATGCAGGTTTCAGAAGAAAGAACTACATTAAATAGGCTTTAAACAGAACAGAGCCAATATTTCTGAAATATCAATAAGATGTGAAAATTTAAATGCATTTATATCTTATATGCAATGTAATTTCACTATTGACTTGGTATTATTTTATTGCATAATATCCAGTTATGAAACAATTTGTTTTACACGTCAAATTAAAATCAAAAATGCAATGCAAAGTACAGTTTATTTCTCTGAGATATACATCTACCATATTGAAACTGTCACTTTTTATGCTAGTTATAATTTTATAGTGATGCATTTAGAAATGTATAGGTTGGTCACATAAAAACAAAGCAATATATTGGCAGGAGTCACATATTCTCAAGGATGCATATTTCATTATATACATGCTGATACTTGATTCTTTGTCAAATTCATAATTATACAGAAGTACATGGTGAATTGCGGTGTTCAAACCTACAGAAGATATGTTTGTCAAATTAACAATTAACATGCAATCAGTTGAAAAACATTAAAGTTGTACCCTTTTTTGCATTTTAATTTTCTATAAAAGTCAACACAGGTAACGTATAAATTGGTAAGCTTTAGCAGAATTTAGTATGTGCAAACTGAGATAAAAGTCAGATCTACTATTGCTTTGAGAAGAGTTCAAGCATTTGGTCAGAATTTGAAAAATCCACAGACCTTCTCCCTTTTATATGTCTGCTTTATTGGAGATTATATTAAAATATCCTTCTTCCAGAAATTTTATGTCTGTCATTATTTTTCTTCTTCTCACTCTTTTATATATAAGCATTGTATTAAATATGCACTGCATTATTGTTAATACATCTTTGTTGAGGAAAGCAGGGCCACATTCCTGCTTCCATTCAACACTGCTAGCTGGAGAAGAGCCACGGGTTCCAAAATGTTGCTGGGTCAAGCAACCACCTTTTTTTTTTTGAAGGTGGCTGAAAGGGAATCACTGGTCCAACATTTCCTTCCTTTTGACATTGAAGAATTTCCAATAGCTTTAAGTAGCTGGTTAAAAGAAGGATCTCAGTGCTATCTTCATATGAGTTATGTGATGCTGCTATTACTTAATGATTCAGTGTTCTGTTCTCAGTTTGCCACACATCTCACTCACAGGGAGAAAATAATTCCTTATTCTTCTGTTTTAAAATTCTCTAGGCTTTTTTCACTCTATCATAAATTTGGTGTGAAATTCAATCACTATCAACAAAGAAGTGCCTGATTGGCAAAATGATCTAAGATTAAGATTATACCAGAAACTTAAGATCTTTGACAAAAGATACATCCAGTAATATAAAACCATATAAATATACAAAAACATACAAATAAATAGGTAGTCTTTCTTGCATATTTTGAAAAATTTCATAAGGTCATGTGGAAAGAAAAGATTGTTCATTTAGTAAATAATAGTGTTAAGATGTAAAACATTCTCTTTTCTTAAAAAAACTGCTCCTCTCTTCAAAAATTGCATCTTGGGTTCACAGGAAAATTTAGGCTGGAAATTATCTCAACTGGTCTTTAATCCCACCTCTTCCTCAAAAAAGCATGAGCTACAAAATCAAACCAAGATGCTGAGGGCTTTCTTCAATGTGCTCTTGAAAACCTCCAAGAATGAAGACCACATAACCTTTCTAAGCAATTCATTCTAATTTTGACTGTCATTTTGATAAAAGGTTTTTCCCTAATGTCCAGCCTGAACTTTTCTTTTTGTCATTATCTCTCTTCCTCTCACAAACCACACTGCTAAAATCCTGGCTCCAGCTTTTGATGGCCTTCTCTTAGCTGCTGGAGGGCTTCTGGATCTCTTCTCTAAGCCTGTGTATCTTTCTGAAAGCATTTATTGCTTCAAGAAATTTTTGTTGACCACAGACAAGCAAAATTTCTTCTTTTAATAATCTCTCTTCATATAACTTCAAGATTAATTTCAAATAACCCAAGCTTCAATTTACTACATGAAGTAACAATCAGAGGCCCTCATTTATCCTTGAATCCTCTATAAGCCACCTCTAAAACAGCATTGTTAAGCATGGCATTGCTCATGCACATCTCACTTCAGTCAATTCAGATGATATCTAGTTGTGTTTGTTTCAGTGTTCATAGGATTTTACTATCTGTAACCAGAACAAATCCAAATATCTTCTTTTTTTTTTTTTTTGGGGGGGGGGGGGGGGGGGTGGGTTTCTTGAAGAAGTAGCTCTAGAGTGCTATATTGCATATTTCTGGGATTAATTGATGCTAGGCATTGTTTATCATCTTATCTTTTATTTCAACACATCTCTAATCTTCTATATAGTTAACTTCAGAAGATGCATATTCTCTGCTGTGTTACAGCACTGGAGCTTCTGGGAGGGTCAGGATATGACATGGATTATAATAAAGGCCAAGGGTCTGTTCTCATTTATATTGAATCTGCCAGGGTTCTGTACAAAGTCTGGACCTGCATTAGTGAAACCCATGAGCTAACCCATGAGCTGGTGGCTCGGGCATTTCACTACCTCCTGACTACTGCAGCTTTCCAGAGAGCTCCAAGAAGAAAATGGATAACCTTATATTGAGTTTCTTGTTCTTGGAAGATGGACATGCCCTAACTCAATCTCCCTCTGTCACTCCTGTGGTTTTTAAAGAAGCTTGGAAGAGGAATAATGAGGTTCACATGTGTAACAGTGTAAGTGTATAGTGTAATATATTCTTACCTGGTTTAATCAATCATGGGATGCAAGTATTTTATGTCATTAGTATAAACTGAGAGCACTTCAACATAATAAAATGCTAAGATCTTATAAATGTTACTGTAAATATGCAGCTGCTGAATATGGATGCCAAGGAGATGAACATCAGGAAATACCCTGTTACATATAGCATATTTGGTAGCTCTATATAGAATGTGTTTGGCTTTTCAAAGTAAATTTTTAATAACCACAAAACAATCAAACTGCTGGGTTTATGTTATTTCATATTAATCAATTGTATTGTTGCTTTAATCAAAGTTAAACTATCTTTTTCTAAATTTTTTCTTAATATTTTCACTTCCTGCAATGCTTGCTTTGAAACTCCATCTATAAGACAAGCAAAGTAAATTGTCATGTCTGAAGAAATTCAATGGTTCTCTTATTTATATTTAATATGGTTCTAAAATAATTTCCTTAATTCTTCTCTGCAGTGTAGAGTTTAAAAGTCATTCAAGGAGCAAAACCAATTAAAATAATGCAGTATTTCCTTGTAGAAACTGTTCTGGATGAAATGCTTAGCATGTGAAAACATGAATCCCTGGACCTTTGCATCCACTTTGTCAACTAGTTCTATACAGAGACATTTCTACCAGAAAAACCAGTCCAAAAATCATTCTCCATCAGAAGCTTGATAATAACAGGATCAGTCAAGATATCTTTCAACTTATTTTATTACTTAATTTAGAAACATTTGTGTTGATGTAAATTGTACTTCTGATCACAGTGGTATTTTTTCTGGTTTTTTCTTTTGAAAACCAGTGAGGAAAGTGAGCAAACCATGTCACTTATTTTTTTGGCCTATCTTTTATTTCACATCTATCCATGTTCAAGGGGCTGTAAGAACAATAGGTGAAGCATTTAGAGAATACTGAATCCATTGATTTGCTCCAAGTAATACATGAAAAGTGATTATTATGTATATTGTAAACCAGGATGTCATTTTGGTATCTGTCTTTTCCAGAATGGCTCAGATTTTCAGTGGGAAAAGCTGTATCCTATTGGGTCAGTCACACTGAGGAAGAAAGACAAGTGAAGGAATAATCAAGGAGAACATGCTCAGTCCTGGATTCAAAATATGTTTTGTGAGATGTTATTCCGTAGTTTTAAGACCAGATACACTTTTCCATTCTACATTGGCAGGGAGCCATGCTTCCTCTTCCATAGGAATTCCTCTTCAGAACCCACACAAAACCAATGATTTTACCATAGTTTACTTCCAAATGTATATATTGGGCTTTCTTTTTTCCTGTGGCAAGGTATCATTTCTGGGCTGCTGCACAGATTCTGGCTTTATTTGGTTCCTACATTGCAGCTTGACACTAGAGGGGGAAATACTGTATTATAGAAATAAGCACACTTTGATGGTGTTAGTGACTCAGTTTGAAAAACTTTAGAAAATTAAAATCCCAAAAGTAATTCTGAGTGGACATATTTTCTTAAGGCATAATTTACACTGCCAACTTTGTCAGCTGGCATGATTTGTTGATCAGAACTGAAACAACAGAGGGAAGAAAAAATCTGATTATGTGCTGTATTTATTCATCTGTATAGTACAGATTCATACCCTTAATTGTGAAATGTTCTTCAAATGAGAAAATTTGTCCCAGCCCAGCTGTGCACAATTCCA